ACAAAGGATCCCTTCAAAAAAAAAAAAAAAAAAAAAAAAAATAAAATAAAATAAAGAAATTCTTCTAGCGGAGAATCACGCGTTATTCTTGAAAGACAAGCACTGATCCGGGAAAAAATAAATAGATCCTATTTTCGGAGCAAGTACGGAGAAGACACTCTCATATGATTCAATCTGACATGTCTTTCCGTCAGGCAGTGTAAATATTTCATTGAGCTAATCTACCGAGGATGACGCCGAGCATGTCTGTACTACCCGACTCGGTTCGTTCAACACCAACAGCCCTGAAAGAGACCGTGAAGTGATAATCTGGTCTTACTACTCGCTCACGCTTTTTCGCATGGCTTTTGCGTCTGCATGCTGCATGCAGAAATATTCGGCGCGTCCGGCAACTTTCTGAACTCCCGCCGTCATCATTCAAAAGCGGCAATTGACTTGTCGCCATTGTGTGTGAGGGGTGGGCGATCAGACTCTGTTGCATTTTGTCTCAAAATTGACGGTCGTGCCGGGCAAAAAAGACATCATAATCCTGGACAGCACATGGGCGCCTTTTTCCGGCACCTAGCCATTCCACTCTCCCTCTGCAAGCCCAGAGTTCGTTCTAATCAAGATCGCATTATTTAACCGTGGTTTTGCAACCGTGCGAGTTTTAGCTTCGCTTTGGCTTCCGTTGTCTACCGGCGTCAAGTCTTCCGTACCGCACATCGACCTCTAGCCTGCACGAACTCCACTGCAGCTAAGCTCGGAAGACCTTAGGAGGACTCAAGATATAACATGGGTACGATTGCATCGGAGTCGGATAGAAGACTGAACAACAATGTGCGTGCTACAGCTACAATGCCCACGTGGGCTTGTCTAAGAGGGGTTACACACTCCCCTCAGTCAATGGCCGATTCGGAAAGAAACAACATGTCAGTTTAGGTTACAAGAGGACGTCATGGACGTCATTTCAGCAAAGGATTGTTTTGAAATTGGTCGCGAACTGCAGTTTTCTGACAGGTCCGTACACTGGACTTTATATTGTGTCACTTTTCAGAAACAAACAACGGTAATTTCCGCTATCTTTGCACCACATTCTAAAACCAAGTCGTGGAATCACCCAAATATAAAGCATATATTCGAGGGCTGCAATCTTTCTAGGCCCAGGTGGCGAATGCCTCACGATGCTACGCGCTGGAAGACTATTAGCAAGATTTTTCCAAGCACATGTTACCATTGAATATTTGCACCCATCCCGCGGGTTGAAATTGACCATCAAATCGCGCATGCCCCAGTTGGCCATATCGAAGGCGGTTTGGGCGAGAAAAGCTTTCTCGATTGTATGAAGCTTTTGATATTTGCACCTACCTACCTTGGGTAGATCGACAGTCAGCTAGGGCCGGAATTGGAACCCTCTCCGAGAAAGGGCCCATTGCCAGATCAGAGTCGATAATCTTATAAAGGAAGGTAAGGCGGATACCAGGATACAGTCTATGAATTACGTGAAAGCTTGCGTGTTACGCATGCATATCGCGTACAACAAAGTCTTGCCAAATTACTCCCCCAAATCTCAGTGCGTCTAAATTTTCTGTACTTCTAACCTCTCCACAAACAATTGTTTGGCAGTTTGCTCCTTAAATGGACATTATCCATAATGAAGAAAACAGCCAGATGATAGAATCCTAAAAGACCCCACTTGACGTGAATGAACCCCGCCGTTATCAGAGAGATTAGGAGCGACAGGAAGCCAAGCCTAGTAAGTGGGGCTTGCAGGCATTAGCTTGCACAATTTCCGCGATTGGCGGTGGAGACTCCTTTCTCTCTCCGTGAGGCCGATCAATTTGTCGCTGGCGGAAGACCGGTCTATGCTAACGGAAATTATAGAATGTAGAAAATTCATTTGTGGGACGACTTGCTTAGGAGACTTACAGCGATGAGCTTTCGCATTCAGGATCCAGTACTCGTAGATGCAGTGAAAAGGTGTCCACCTACACCTAGCCAGCAAGATGCAGGAATCGTTTCAACTACGGCGAGGCCGGCTCTCATTGCTCTCTTGCTCCTGAAGCAGCAGCCACACGCTGGTTGAAAGAAACAGGAATAGCAACCATATTTCTCGGCCAAATTGGGGCGAAACTCAAGCCGTGAATTAAACTTCCGGAGAGCAAAGGGGTCCAGCCATCGACGCCACATGACGACACAGGCCGGGCGCTACCATGGGGCAAAGAAAGAGAAGGAGAGGATGTGAGTCTTGGGTGTTATGTAAATATGAGACGATATGCTCGGCGCAGGACCCCAATCGTGACATAATCTTACCAGGCGGCGTGGTTGTCAAATGACGGCGCCGACGGCAAAGACAGGGGCAGGGGCACGCTTGTTTTATCTGGCCGTTGAACCACGGACAAAGCCGAAAGGCCTAGGTCGTGCTCGGGCAAGGCCAGGTCAAATTTAGCCAACTCGCAGCATCTTCCATGCGTTCTGGATGACTGCCCAAGCTGTCGCAAAACGAGGTACGTAGCAGCATTCCGTTTAGGACAATATCTGCGGGAATCCTCCCGCCCCGAAAAGCGTCCGAGTCAAGGTGCCGTGGGTTTGGGAAAAGGGCCCCACATGAGGGCGTCCCGAGGGGACGGGCCTCATCTCGACGGGAAGAGAAACTAACGACCAAACCAGCCAGCCAGAGTGAGCAAGAGTCAGCCAAGCGATCGCATCATCAGCGATGTGTAGACTCTTTGTTACCAGGTCTGACCCCCCTTTCCCCCAGCCCATCTTCATTGGCCTCTTCGCGGCTTTCTACACTTTTTGCTCTCCGAGGAGCGGCTCTGACGGATCCACGCAATTTACCAGTGATATGGGATCGGTAATAATAATAATACTAGGTAATGGCAGAGCCGTGGACGGTCGAGAAAGCTCTTTTCAATGGCATGAGGGGTTTTATCGACATGATTTTGTGGAAAAAGTTTCACGCCAAAGCCTACCTCTGTCCCTCTCCAAAAGCCACTGTCTCTCTGCTGACTGCGCTTACGACACGACACAAATCCGGTGGCCAAGGGTTTTTTGCTACCAAATCCCGGCGGTTTCTGTTGTAGACGTAGGAGGCCGAACGGAGAAGGGAACAGCCCTCTCTCCCCCTGGGACGAGTTATTTGAACGTGGCACGTCCCAGAAATCATGTCGCGCGAGGATGAACGACCAATACCCTGGCGACTGGGAACGGATCAGGGCAAGACGAGGGCTACAATTGGTGGGGCGTGGACCCCATTATTTCGCCTGTCTTGCCTCTTGGACCCGAACGCCCCCTCTTCTCTCGCCAGACCTCGGCCGCTTGCCTCACTTTGTCCGTTCAATGGAGCCTTCCCGCTCGGCTACGTGCATGTCAAACTGTTGACCCCGAAAAGCACCAACACAGCCCCCCATGGCACCGCGAAACCCGGGCTTGAGACAGGCGAATGACCTCAAAAGGTGCAAGGGATATCCTTAGGGGGCGGTCCGCACGCCAAACAACCGATGCCTCAAAAGCCTAGCAGTACCTACCTAAGTTATAGAGTGTCAGATTGAACCTTTTTGAGACTCGGCGACGCAACACCTTCCCCCTTCTCCGCAAGAGACGATCAGGCCTGGACCAAGATTTTGTCGGTTACTGGATTTGGAGCCAGAGGTGGTGTCATGATGGTCCATCATTGCTGTGTGGTAGCGACAGGTACCGGCTCAATCCGAGATACTTGTGCTGTGCTGTCAGTCATGATGACCCTCCTTGTCGTCTGAAACATGCAGAAACTCTGCACGACCCACTGTAGTTTCGTCTTCTGGCCATGACTATCACACTTTTTTTCTTTTTCTTTTTTCTTTTTGACATGTAGCCTTGCATGCCAAGGTCGAAGAGCCTCGGCCGAGCAAAAGCGTAGAGCATGGCTGCATGTACGCCCCGGCAAATCTTTTCTATTTTACAGCCGATTGATGAGCTCCGTCGAGGGGCGTAAGACCACGCCGATCACGGTCCGCCTTCTTTCCGCCTGGAACTTATGCAAGCACAAGCTACTCAATGTCGGTGTCGACAACCATGCTGGACAAGTTGACGGAGCAAGGTCATTGTTACATTTTGCATAAACTCGAGTGTGGGTCAACAAGGCTTCCATTTCTGTCCGATTGAAAGAAATGTCAATTACGCCTACACTAAGCCAACAAAGCGAACATGTCCGGCGATAGCAGCCCGTGGACACAAGGGCAAATGCATTTTTTTTGGCAAACCCTTATCGACTTCTCTTACTCGTAGGGAGAGAACGGTTGCGCCGGTTTCTCTTGCTGAGAGCAGTGCACTACGACAACAGCTTACATGATAGAAGACAGTATCCTATTCCCGCGGTAGAGAAGTCGCAGGCACGACGGTGCGATAGCGATCGCCCTGGCAGCTGCAGTCTGGGGAATTCGAGCCCATGGATTGAATCAAGAAGGCGAGAAAATCAAATGGGAGCGATACAGAGAGAGAATAGGCGAAGCCCTACCTTTTTATTGTCGCAAATGTACGAAGTTCAGAGAGATATGTGGGTTCCCTTCGCCTATCTTCTTGGGCTTGCCAATGCCCACCATCAGTAGTTCCACTTGTGCATACTCCTCTAGTAAATGGGTTCAAGGTGGATGAGCAAGGTAAGGACGGAAGAAGCGGAAAGGATTCAGCGGTTGATTTAGCTGGGCGTGACCTCGAAACTAGATGAGATCTCGGCCCCAAGCCGGGAAAATGAAGTACTCAAGAAGGAAGGGTGAGTTTCAAGCAGGTTTATGTGCGGTTGCGAGAGATTATTTTCTCTCTCTGTGTGTGCGTGAGAGAGAGGGTGTGTGAGTGTGTTTATTGAAAAGCAAAGAGTGTGTGGACAAATGCGTGCGTGGGCCGGAGCAAGTAGTGGACTGGCTAATGGTTCAAGGGCAATGCAAAGGATGAAAGCGACGCATCTCAAAATGCAATTCCCACCGTTCAGTCTAGTCCTGGACCAGTCTCTTTTGCTTTGGGACTGACTGATTTTGTAACGTTACTTGGAGTACTTGGTTGGGGCTACTGCGCCAGTGCGCATTACTAACGAATGGGATCCTGCTACGGCTCGGTACGGTGCCGTACGGCACTCTGATCTGTAGGGAAAAGCCTTCCCAAGGTAAGAAAAGGTACACCATGGATTATTGGTCTGACGCTGGAGGTCCTCTACTTTTCGTTGACTCTCTGGTCGCAGCCCTTTCAAGGGGGAAAACAACCAACCGATTTATCACCACTGCACCGCCCATGGGAAGATATCCTGCGGCGGAAGAGAAATACAAGGCAGGTGCAGGCATCTTTGCCCAAGTATCTAATCAACTTATGCCTTCAAGTTTGAACTGAGTGAGTGCAATGACAGGATAATTGGCCCTCGGCAGAAAAGACAGCGAACAATGAAATATTTCGCAGAAATGCAGGCTCCTGCTTCTTTGAATGCTCATGGTCATTTCCCTTATTCTGTGTGATACGACAAGAAGAATGCTGCTTCTGCTGCTGCTGCTGCTGCTGCTGCTGCTGGGCCTGTCGACTCGGAAAATGCATCAGCTGAAGCAGCCTGGAAGTCGGAAGAGGCCACAACGATCGTACCTCTTCCTATCGTATCGGTTCCGGGGCTTGGGAGTGTGGCCCAAGCGACGGAGGGACTCCAAAAAAGGGCTTCCCTGACTCTCTACCGTCTGACGGTACCCTACCTGGAACAAGAAGTTTTCTTTTGCCCTGGTGCATCCCTCTTAGCTTCCGACTAGGAGCGCAAGACTAAACCCAAGACGAGTGCAGAATCCGACCGTCTGCGGCTTCTCTGTCGTCGACCGGGGGTGAAAAAGGGTTTGGTGTTTGGAGCTGGGAGTCCACCACACCCCCCTTGGCGAGGAGTTGTACTGTACCGTACCGGCACTAACATGGAGCGAGGCAAAGTGGGTGAGCGCTCGAGAGAAAGAGACGGACACTATAGAGGCGATACTTTGGCTATAGCTCGCCCATAGCTCCGCTATTGGTCTCGCTATGGGCTCACTATAACCCACTTAAGCGTCTTAACCCCCTCGTCAGCTTTCCCATGCTCTTTCGTCGTGTGAGCCCGACCCGGCGGCATGGTTCCGGGAAGGGATGGGAACTCTATCTCTAAACCTTTTGCAGTAGCGCGCGCTGAGGAAAGTGGATGATGGCACGGACTCGTGTCACCCAGTCTCATCCTTTCCACGGCCACTTGGGAAAACCCCCCGGCCTCCAGGCCCTTTCATCCTCATTTATTGCCCACCTGCACCTGCGCCTGCGCCTGCACATCTGCACCACTCTCTCATTCACGACACGCTCGCTCGGACATGACCTCTTACTTTTCGACCACGCGCTCCCCATACTAAAACTCCTCGCTCCCTCCTTCCACCTAATCCCCAGCGCTCTCGTTACCCCCCCCCGACGAACCCCATTCCGACAGTCAGAGAGTGGGACTGGCAATCTCACGCCTTGTTGGAGCTTTGCCTATCCTCGGGTGTGGTCCCTGAAACTCTTACCAGATCCCTGTGTTCCCATTACGACAACTCGGCGACCGCTTGTCAGACAAGTCTCCGAGTCCGTTCTCCGTCTTGTCCACCTCACGGCATCTCCTAAGCTGCTCCTCTGGAGCTGTCATTCTTTGCCCTTTTGGCCGTCGATCATCGCTATCATCGTGGACGAACAAATAAGCTCTCTTACTGCTGCCGACAGCCAATTGCATTCCGTTCGATCTCATTCACGATATTTACCGACCGAGGCGTCTCCACCTGCACCATTGGATTCGTTTTGCAGCGCTATAATACTCTCGTTCCGGCGACTTCCGCTCATATTTAACGCGGGCTGTCTCTGAAATACGAGTTCTTTTGAAGCTTTACGTCAACTAGCCAAGCGGCGCGTCCATGCTACAAAGATCCCGATGGTCATAATGTCAACAAATGGGTATGCCTCAAAATGCAGTGCAGTGGATGGGAAACAAAGACTAACTGTCGCCTTCGTTTCGACGACCAGACTGGCTGCTCCAGTTCCGCCCAACTATATGGAAAACGGACGGTTATACCATGGCTTTCGAAAGGGAATTTACATGTATCCTTGCGATGAGGTAAGCGTCTCGATTCGTTGTGCTCTTGCCCGACACTGATCTGATACATCGATACAGCAAGAAAAAGACCGCATGGACATTTACCACAAATTTTTCCTAGTAGCTTGTCACGAAAAACTACACCAAGCCCCAATCCGACCGAATTATGGCCCACCCAGGATTTTGGATTTGGGAACCGGCACAGGCATTTGGGCTATTGACATGGCAGAGTGAGTGCTTTTGTCCCATCATTGGAATCATCATAGGAAAGTTTACTGACAATGGATTTCCCTCTAGTAAATACTTGGATGCCGAAGTAAGCTTCGACCGAGGGTGTGTTTTATTTGCGTTTCGCTAATCATTGCGTGCTCAAGGTCCTTGGGATGGATTTGTCAAATATTCAACCTGAAAAGTGAGATCCCGATCCTCAAAGTCCGCACCTTAATCATATTTCTTACCCATCTCAATAGGATTCCTCCCAACTTGCGTTTTCGTATACCTCGTGATTACGAAAGCCCTTGGTATCTCGGAGAAGAGTCTTGGGATTTGATCCACCTTCGAATGGGAGCAGGAAGCGTGTCGAGTTGGCCGGAATTATATCAAAAGATATTCCAGTATGTTTTTTTTCTAGTATTTGGTCTTCGAAAGATTGGCGCTGACACAACTGGCCAGGCATCTTAAACCTGGTTTTGGATATATGGAACAAGTTGAGATCGATATGCTACCCCGCTGCGATGACGGAACAATGCCCTATCACCCCCTGGTGCAGTGGTACGATTGGCTAGACGATGCAACCCAGCGCGCTTCGCGACCCGTGGCTTATCAACGTAACACTCGGCAAATGTTGGAGATGCAGGGCTTCGTGGATATTCAGGAGAATGTCATTCGAATTCCGCTCAACTCGTGGCCCGCGAGCCTACACGAAAAGGACATTGGACGCTGGTACAATCTTGGCCTAACTGAAGGCCTGGAAGCCCTCAGCCTTGGGCCGCTGACAAGAGTCTACGGTTGGCCTGCGGAGGACGTTCGGAGACTGATTGTTGACGTCAAAGCACATATGTGCAACAAGAAGATACACGCATATAATAATATGTGAGTCACTCATCTCTTATCACAACTTGCAATGACCTTTACAGAAAACTAACAACTGAAATAGGCATATCTGGACCGCGCGACGGCCTCAATGATACGACTCGACTCTGGCACGACTTTTGCATCGAGTGATCCACCATTCGCAGAACATCACGTGGCTCTGCAGGTGCGCTTCACTAATGTGCATAGAGACGAGCATTGTTGCCTCTGATATATTAATGTATGCTCTGCGAGCCGTGCCCGTTTTACGGCTATACTCTCTGCTCTGGATCCATCATTGACATATTTGACTTGACAGGTTCGAAACTGGCGCGAGAGGACGACTCCATGACTGGCATGCCGATTTTCTTTGACTTGCTCTTCTTTCTTGGCGGGAATATTCCACTCTAGAATTTTATGAGGGGCCAATTGGCGGATCCTCTTGCTCAAGAAGCGTCGCCGTCACGACCTGATTGATACGCGCCGGCCACTGTGTCTGCAATTGCTCGTCTAGAAACGAGTCTGCGGACTGCGGAATTTCATTCTATTCAATTTTATATTTTCGCTCTTTTTCTTTGTGTGGGGAAAGGGAAAAAAAGGCGTTGCTCGGTTTGTTTTCGTTATACCATGGGGAGTTTCCTTAGCGAACTCTGCATTCTGCCGCTTGGGAATTGCCTTCGACATCCTGGCAGGACTCGACCTCGCCTTGACACCACCCCATCTAATTATTTTATGGCACCGACCTTCTGATTTCTCACCGCTCGAGGAGATATCACCATAGTCGGCGCCGTTATAATCGTTTCAACCATTATTCTCAGTTTCAGGCTTGGTGTGTTAGACCGAAGTTAGACGACGATCAATTTGCCAGTTGATGATGTTATACACTGGCTTGAACATGTGCGGTTCGACGAAAGATACCCATCGCATTTTGAACGGGAGGTCAGGGGCGCCTTTTGGGCTGATCACTATGTTGTACATATAGAAGAGGCTTCTCTAGATTTACACTTTTCTTTTTAACATTTTTCCCCCTATAGAAATAGGACGACCATCATGCATGTCCATTTTGAGGATATTTTCTGTGTCTCGCTATTGCAGTAGCCAAACCGGTCAGTTGGTCTTGACGTTGGTGCTTACGGAGTTGCTGCATATTATTATTTCAGCGTAATCGCTATGTGGCTGGATGGAGCTTGGACACTTGGTGTTAGTATGGTGGGGTTCCGTGCTCTAGACCCGAACCTTTCCCTACACCGCCCGTTTCTCTAATTTTTACCGAAGCGAAACCAACTACAGTACGAGGGTAGAGAACCGTTATATGTCGCGCGAAGAAGGCCCGAACGAACTAACGCACCCGGAAATTTTGTGCTTTGAAAAATCTCAAACCGCAACTCATTCGAGATTTGTCCTCATCGACAACATCTTGAACATTTAGAAAAACTTCTTGAACAGTACACCGTCGACATCGCCATCGTGGAGAGTCCAAAACAGCTCTCCCCCTTTCCAACCGTCAAAGTGCATCCAGCAAGGATCGTCGTGAGAGTACCTCATCCCCATACCAAGTCGCGGGGATGGTGGGTTCGTACAACTTCACCCTATGCGCTGGGCAGATGTTTGTTTGCCCAGCAACGATTCCTCAACTGATACATAGCCAGTCACACACTTGCGAATCCGACCCCCCGGCCCAATCTCTCGCGCTTTGCGCGCCGTTAGCCGTTACCTGCCCCAGTTGAATTTCATCACCCTCCATTACCTATATTTTGTGGCAACATGTTTAATTGGAAGTCTCATCATCTGGGGCTCGTCGACCCCATTTCGAAGCCTCAGCTATGTCAATGCGCTCTTTCTTTCGGTGAGCGCGATGACATTGGCTGGGCTGAATACGGTAAATCTCTCAACGCTCAACACTTTCCAACAGTTCATGCTGTTCGCCTTGACCTTGCTCGGATCAGCAATACTGGTATCGGCGGTGGTGGTGAGCGTGCGCAAGAAAGCCTTTGAGGCCAAGCTCCGGCACACGGTGCATGCACAGTTCCGAAAGACGAAAGCGCAAGCAACTTCGAGAGCTCTGCCAGACGGAGCTCTAGCCATATCCAGCCCTGGTAGTTCAGGCCCTGGCAACGCCCAACTTCAGCAGGATACTTTAAGAGACAGGATCCCCTTTGAGTGGACTGAGACACGGGCCCGCGGTCGGCCATCGGAGGATGCTGAGAAGCAACACAATGCTCTCCATAGCCTCCACTCTTCACAAAGCGGTCCAGACTCGGAAGCTTCCGAGCTTCCTAGATACGAATTTCACGATCGCCCGCCGGGTACTGGGATTACCTTTGCAAGTGATGCTGAATCTCGAGATTCTCTTAGCAAATATAATGAAGCTGGCAAACGGCGTCATTCGCGAATGTTTTCAATGCAAGGTGTTGGCGCGGATCCAAACGCTGCCGTGTTGCATCATTATGGTCGAGCCTCGGGCGGGCATCGACCAAGCTGCAATCGCGCATCTGCCACGAGCGAGCGTCGCCCGAGTGGAGACACGCTATCCATGGCCTCTGGCTTTATTGGTCGGAACTCCCGATTTTTCGATCTCAGCCCTTCTGACCGAGAAGTCCTTGGAGGTGTTGAATACCGGGCGTTGAAGTTACTAGCTTGGCTGGTCCCCGCATACTTTATCTTATGGCAGCTGTTGGCATGTCTAGGGCTCGGTGCTTGGATTGCACGGAACAAAGCCGATGTAGCACGCGCGAATGGCCTTAACCCATGGTCCGTATTCCCTTGACTTTACTTATTTGTCTCCCCTATCTTCTGATAATTTTACCAGGTGGGTCGGCGCCTTCAATGCTGTTTCCGCCTTTAACAACAACGGCATGAGTCTCTTGGATATGAACATGGTGAGTCTCACTCCGAGAACTCTTTCTACCTTCACTAATTTCTCACAATTAACCCCTTAGATTCCATTTCAACAATCGTACTACGTGCTAATAACTATGGGACTTCTCATACTGGCTGGAAACACTTGGTATGGTCGCAATCTGAAGAAATGGTCGAAATAGGACTCGGACCAATGTCTAACACATATAGTTATCCTTTATTCTTGCGACTTTTCATTTGGATAATATATACTGCAACCCCGAATACGCCATCGTTTGCTGAACGGAAAGAAACACTGCAATTTATGTTAAACCATCCAAGGCGTTGCTACACCAACCTGTTTCCTGCGCGTCACACCTGGTGGCTCCTGTGTGCTGTCGTTACACTGACTGGGATCGATTGGGTTGCGTTTGAGATACTCAATGTACGTCCTCCCACTCGAGCTTCACGCTTAGTGCTAATACTTTTCATGTTAGATTGGTAATCCTACAATTGAGAGTCTGCCACATGGCGCCCGAGTTATGGACGGTCTTTTTCAGGCTATCGCTGTGCGATCCGGCGGCTTTTATATTGTCAACATTTCCTCTCTGCGCGTCGACCTTCTCGTTCTCTATGTCATCATGATGTACATATCCGTTTACCCCGTGGTCATTACCATGCGGAACTCCAACGTCTACGAAGAGCGCAGCCTCGGTCTTTACGCCGACGACCCTGTGATCCAAGAGCCGGCCAATAATTCCGGAAGATGGGGCTCTATACTCGGGGGACTAAGACGACAAATGACTCGAACGGATACAGGCGAGACCAAAGGTTACTTTGTTCGGCAGCAGCTAAGAGCTCAGCTTGCGCATGATCTTTGGTGGGTCGTGCTGGCAGTCTTTTTGATCACAATTGTCGAATCTGGCTCCTACGAACGCAACCCCGTAACCTACTCAGTCTTCAACATCATGTTCGAAGTTGTATCTGCGTACGGTTGTGTGGGCATCAGTACCGGTCTTCCTGATCAGAATTATAGCTTTGTCGGCGGTTGGCACACCGTGAGCAAACTGATCCTGTGCGCTGTGATGATCAGAGGTCGACATCGCGGTCTACCTGTAGCAATCGACCGCGCCGTTCTTCTTCCAGGAGAACACCTTGCCGAGGCAGAGGAGGAAGATGCACAGATTGACCTGATGGGAAGACCCAATAGTAGGAGAGGTATTGTATAGATCTATTGAAGAATCCGTGAAAAAAGTGTAGGGGGTTTCATCTGCTGGAATTGGAAGCTCATTATGCTCGTTTTACATCCCATAACTTATTCTACAGACAGCTTTGTCTCAGGTCCTTTCTATTGATTAGCTAGGTAGCTTTATCGTAATAGTACCATCTACAGGAGAGAGGTTTCTGTCAGGATGCTCTGACGTAGATGGTAGGAATGAATGCAGCGGCTTCATCGCCTCTTGACGACCTTCATACGAGACACACACCCTGACCCACATTGATATCGTGAGAAGAAAACTTAAGAGCAACTTTGATGCGAGATTTGGGGTGACTTTACAAAAGAACCCAAAGAAAAAAGGGGTGACGTTTATGTATTTCAAGGAGGGCAATATGTTGATACCAGTAACAAGTTTCAAGGCATAACAATGGCTGCCTTTGGGAAAGAAAAGACAGCGTCCTCGCTGGCTGTCAACTATAAAAGAACAAAGTGACATACAAATATATGCAAAACACTAAGAAAAATAAGTACTCCTGTTCCAACATCAGTATAATCCTTCGAGCTGCTGGCTGAGGATTCTTCATCGTCATGTTCTCCGAGGAAGGCTTCGCGCTTCTCACTCTTTTTTTTTTTCGACCAATCAGCTCTCGAGCTTTTGTCTTTCGACCAATCAGAAGGCTTAGAAGCAGGAGGCTTTCGGCGATAGAGCTCCAGCTAGTGGTGGTGATGCAGCTCGAAGCGCTTTAGCCAGCGTGGCCATCGATGTAGGCGGGTCTGGACTGAGGTGTGCTCTGTAGATCAAGGCGGAGGCGCGCGCCGATGCAGAATTACGCAATCGGGAGACTTACTTAAGGTAGCCTCTTGCTGGAAAAAACCCCTCCAGAGTGCATGTTTATCCGTACCAATCGTTGGCCACTGTTCCTGGTTCTTGTTGGCCCAATGTCGCAATGCATTGACCTCCGAATGTGACCTTCTTCGAAGCACGTGGTTATAAAGGACTATGACGGGCTGTATAATTGCATGATGAAAAAGGCCCCGGAAAACGTGAAGCTGCTTATAATTTCGTGGAGATTTATTCTGAAAGATTTTGATTCTCAAGATTTACTTATTCCCAGTACGTGATTTAACTGTAACAACGAGCGGTTGCCTAGTTGGAACAAGGTGCCCTCTATTAATTGGCCAGCGAGGTCCGCAAGAGGCGTCCAATTCCATGTCAAATTCAAAGAGGATCTTTGCAAGAATCAATCCAGCCTCTATAATAACAAGACTAAACAAAAGTCAGTAAGTGTGTCCAGAAAATTAAGACTCGTGCCACCTACTGCCTCGCAACACACGTCCTGGGCCCAAAGCCAAAAGGCCGAAAATACTCCCGCTTGTCATCTGCGTATGCCGAGTCACCGAGCCAACGCTCGGGTCTGAATTGTTCTGGATTCTTCCAATAACGTGTACTGTGCGTCAGAGACCAATTATGTATACCTACTATCGTACCCCCGGGTACAAATTGACCACAAATTGTTACGCCGGCTGGAGGGACTCGACGGGGTAGCGCACCCACAAAGGGCGGCGATAAACGAAGAGCTTCATTCAAGCAGGATTTTAAATATGGTAAATCCTGTGTTGAAGCGGGTGTAATCTCATCTTGACTCTGAAAGCTTATCCGGATCTCATTGCTAGCTTTGGCAAAGTATTGCGGATTTTCGAGCAAGTAGTAGAGAATAGAGCAAATGTAGCCAGGGAGTGTCTCAACGCCACTGAGGATTAAAATGAATGAGTTTTTTCTAATGGTGTCGTGGTCGATTGTTCCTTCTGCCATCATGTGATGGACTTTTGATTGTTTGAGCTCGAATTATAACTTGAAGGAGGATTGATACTTACCCATATCTGAGCTTTTGTCCAAACCCTTCTCAGTTGCTATACGCTCATTGATTGCTGGACCGAGTGGAGGTAAGTTGCTGAATACTGCGAATATATCACGACGGGGAAATATCGGCAAAGAAAGTAAAGAAGTAAACACTCGAGGTAGATATTGAAGCAGCGCAACGTATTGTATAACAGTCACGGCCTTGTGCATAGACTTGACGATAAAGTGAAGCAGAGGCCCCCTATGGATCGCTCCAAAGTCCTGGCCAATGACGAGCTTGCCATGTATGTCAAGTATTGTATTTCCGATCCATGCATCAATATTAACAGCCCCGAGGTTTCCCTTTTCAAAAGAATTTTTGAGATTTTGGATGAAATCGTCGGCATAGAATGTCATTATGCCCCCCTTTTTAATCAGTTCTTGGTGGGAAAATCCTCGCAGAGCGTTTTTCTTTTGGGCTTTGTATGTCGTGCTGTCGGCATCAACCTGAAGACATAAATTGGTAAGTCTATCATAGCACACGAGCCTGGACGATGCATACAAGCGTTTCAGAGTTTCCAAAGCCAGCACCAAAAGTGCCGGTCTCTTTCTCCAGTGTGTGTGATCCGTTGTGGTGCGCGTTCTTGCCTAAGGAAATTGCTCGTTAGGTCCTCATCGTGTCGCTTTCATTTCGAATACGAAATCATACCGTAGATGTCATTCCAAGCACCTGGATCTATATATGAGAGCTCATTTGGTGCAATGCGTACGACGAGACCGTAATCGTCGTGAAGGGTTTTGATTGCGTATTTATGGCGCCCTTGGAAAACCTTGAGACTGTACCACAGCCTTGACGCCCCGGCAAACCAAGGCCCCGGAAAATTCTTTAGAGGGTGAAAATAGAGATTAAAGACGGCGTTTGAAAGGATTAAGGATACCTGCATCGAGGTTAGATGATTTGTAGTAAGTGGCCATAACGTGCCATTGAATGGCGAGGATGTGAGAAGGTACCAAAGTAATAGGCACAACAACCCCGAGAGTCAGAACGCCCATGTTGAACAGGTTTTCCGCGTAGGGTAAAAATGCAATTGTCCAGAAAGACGCAGATTTGTAGAGGCTTCCAACGGAGATTCTTCACGAAAACACCAGCGCAAAACCAAGGGCAAGAAAGAGAGAGCAAAAAACCTAGTACGGCACCCGTAACTCCAAGATTTTCCAACATCCACGAAAAGTCGTCGGTAGTTTTTTACGTGTTTACCTGGTCTGGGGATTATGGTCAATCAATACCCATGACTCCACCCGCACACCTTGCATCCCGATTGACAATCGACGATCGAGCTGCAGCTCCAGATTGCGGGTTATTACCCCTCTACTCGTATACAGCCAGTGTGGGGCGACAGCGGTTGAAATCTTTGCTGTTCAGCCAGCCACTGGGGACTGCGTGGGCATCTGTAGCATCGCTGCACGCCAATCGACCAGCTGACCATGTACCAACCAGCTGGGATTCCCCTCTCTCTCACAACATAAAGGCGCTGGCCACGTCTCTGTAACCAGGCACCATACAAGGATAGAGCGAGTCATATAGCGGTGTGTTCCACAGCAATGCGGAGGCATTCTTACAGGTCTCGGAGATGAACGATAAGACTGGATTCACATGTCTCGGACAAGGGAAACAACTCCCTTTTGCCTGGGTAGAATTGTTGTTGATCATCTCATTGGCTCGATCCCGATGGAGGAACTGCACGATGAGATCAAGCGACTGCTCGGTTATCTCTTCAGTGTCGGCCCGTTCCCGCTACACCTCTATAATTGCCACTTTAGGACGAAGCAATTAGGGATCATCAATGGTGCGCTGTCACTCAGACCGGGATGGCAATGAAAAATTGATGCAAACAAGGGCTTCTTCTTCTTCTTCTTCTGCTCAGCTGATGGATATTTAGACAAATCCGAGGGGAAGAAAACAGGATGTTGCTTGATCGAATTCATGTCGATCGCGCTTGGCCCACAATTTGACTTTCAACCTCATCCTCTCGGGTCGTGATGGCGTAGGTCCCAATAGCTGTGCCACCAGATCGTGGCGCCCTCGCCCCCTATTTACTTTACGAGTTTGGAAAGAAGTGGATGCAGAGACCATTTCTTGGCCTCCCGATATGTCTTTGAGCTCCTGTCAATGTCACAACGATACAGCTTGGTGGCACTAATCTTTATGATCGTCAGTTCAATTCCATACAAGGGCTGATGTCAAAGCGTGCAGAAATTGATTAATTGCTTTTTGTCTGCCAGTCCTGCAGTTGGAAGCATTCTTGTATGCGGCATAAGAGTGGCATCCCCCCTCTTCCCCTTCGGAGCTCTTTCTCTGTTTTCATCACTGGGTATTTTTTCATATTTTATGCTCACTCCAGCGCCAATACCTATGGAAGACACTCATTTCCGAGCTCAGGGAGCGCCAGCTGAACAGAGTTTCGTCTATCAGCATTCTATCCCTGTTCCACCGCAGGCATATGAACGAGAAGAGTATTTTTGCAAATTTACTCCTCGCATCCACCGCGATGCCTATCTCGCCGACGCAGGATCTTGGCAATGCCAAGTCGATTTCCTAGACTCCAGTGATGCCGCGCGTGCCGATGCTGTCCGGAATCAAGCCCATAAGAGCTATGCTGTGGGCTGCATCAATCCGATTGTGGGAAATTTCACGGCTTTGTGTGCGTGTGAGGCCATACCTGAGCGCCTTGCCTTGACCACGTATATGGTTGAATATGCATACATCCATGATGATGGTGAGTGACTTCGTTTCGCCCTAGTACTGCAACTATTGACTCGAAGCTGTACAGTAATCGAATATGCTGAGAATAAAAACGAATCCCAGGCGAGTATTTCACTAAATATGTCCAAGGGCCGGTTCCGCTTCCGGACATTTTACTGACAGCGTATAGCTCCGAGAAACCAACCAGGAGCTCGTGGAAGGTCTCCTTGACGAGGAAGTAAAAGCCGGCGGCAAAGATCATGTGAGAAGGAGGCAATTACAGGCTAAAATGGCTGTCGAGATGATGGAAATGGATAAAGAGCAAGGCTTGGAGTGTCTTCGTCTCTGGAAGGAAATGTCAGATGTGTTTGTTCAGATACGAGATCTCAATTTCACGAAATTGGATGACTACCTGTACTTTCGTGGCATCGATGCGGGATGTCCGTAAGCATTGTCTTTGCCTCGCATTCACCGAAGAGCAAAAGCTTACTATATATTGCAGGTGGACTATGAGTCTTTTATGCTTTTCTATGGATTTTAAGCTTACAGAGGACGAAACCAAAAGCACTGCGCGAATCACAAGCGCTGCATACGATGCCTGGGTTCTGGTAAACGATTACTTCTCCTGGGAGAAAGAGCGGCAAAATTACGAGGCAAATGGTTCTGTTGGAGAGATAGTCAGCGCCATCTTCATTTTCATGAAGTGGTATTCGGTTGATGAAAAAGAGGCGAAGAGGATGGTCAAGAAAGAAATTATGGCTCGCGAGGAGAAGTATTGCAAAGAAAAGGCCGACTTTGTGGGCCAAGGAAATTTGACCGAAAAAACGGCGAAGTGGTTTGAACTGCTTGACCTTGTCACGGCCGGGAATTTTGCGTGGAGTATGACCACCGCACGCTACAACCTTGATAACGAAGATGCGTATCCAGCACTCCGCGCGGAACATTCAAAGAAGAAGACCGCCACGTCGGTTGACAGCCTCACTTTGCCTATATCTCAAAATGTCGCAAAAAGCATCAAGCAAAAGAAGGAAGAATCGAATGAGCAGGAATATGCTGATGGCTCAAGCATATCCTCGACCATATCCTCCAGCACTCCGCCCACGACTCCAGGTGATCCAACAGACGCTATTGACGAAAAGATTGGAAATGTCGCGTTGCCCGTTCCCCGATTAGTCCCTTCCTTAACTCAATTTGAAGAAGTAAGTCCCAAAATAACAAGCTCGACCACCTCATAGCTGTGTAATGCTGAATATTTTTAAGCTGGTCTTGGAGCCTTACGCCTACATTGAATCGCTTCCTTCAAAGGGAGTGAGAAACACTGCGATTGATGGCCTTGAGGCTTGGTACCATGTTCCTGAAAAATCGCTTGAGATTATCCGTGATATTGCAAACTCATTGCATGCCGCTTCTCTGATGTTACTTTTCCCTTACCCCGTCTCTTTCGTTTGAGCCTGAAATACTAACGAAATGCTACCTAGGCTCGACGATATCGAGGACGAATCTCCCCTAAGACGAGGATATCCTGCCACACACACTGTCTTCGGTATAAGTCAGACAATCAACTCAGCGAACCTGGTCATGTTTAAGGCCTTAAGAGCCGCAAAGTCGCTGTCTCCAGCCGCAGTGTCGATATTGACAGAAAGGATTATAGAAGGCCATATTGGCCAAGGGATGGATTTACATTGGAAGCATCATACAGAGATACCTACTGAGGAGGAGTATTTCGCAATGGTTGATGGCAGTATGTTGAAGAAATCTCTTAAAATTATTCCATTCTAAATGCTGTTTAGAAACCGGTGGCCTCTTCCTTCTCTTAGCAGAGTTGATGCGTTCCGAAGCAACCATCAATAAAGATCTCGACATTGGTCCGCTCATGGAGGCTGTTGGCCGGTTTTTCCAGGTTCGCGATGACTATCAGAATCTTGAAAATGCAGACGTATGTATCTCTTTCCGTATCTTCCTGTCCAGTTATTACATTCCCAGACTTGTTACTAATTGACCACGCTTGCAGTATACAAAGCAAAAGGGATTTGCAGAAGATATCAGCGAGGGCAAACTCTCAATGCCCCTCATACATGCCCTTGCTTCAAAGTCGTTGCATCGTGGCCGCCTTCTAAGTATCCTTCAACAGCGTAAGGCCGGCAACGACCTATCGCACGAAATCCGAAAATTGGCGTTAGACGATATAAAAGCTGCCGGAGGCTTGGAGCATACAAAGAGTATTGCATTGGAATTGCAGAAGACAGTTGACAAAGCGTTGACAAATTTGGAAGAGAAAACAGGGGTGAAGAATTGGATCTTGAGGTTGATGCAGAAACGGTTAGAGCTCTAATCTAAAGTATAGTATTGGTAGTGTATATGCAAGGGTCAGCGGTTGGAACTCTATAACAACTATCTCTAAGGTATCGTATAATTACATTATAACATCCATCAAGAAACAGTTAAAGGCTTTGCTACTCCAATCCCGGCTTTAATCTCTCAATCTGGCTTGTGTATCTGCGTCCTTTCCCAAAATCAGGACTAGAAGAGAGCTACGTGGAGGGTTGATCTCCTCGAGCACACGAATACACCATGCTCAGATTAATGAAAGAGATGGGTATTTTGCTCGCCGGAAAACAAGTCTAATACAGCCTGCAGTTCATTAGTTTCAAACAAGTTATCAAATAAACCCCAATTTGCATCAGAATCGAATCCCAAAAGTCCCGGGTCGATTACTGGGTGTGATGTGTGTAGTGCTTGCTGACCAGATGCAGCGTTCATTAAGCTGCCCAGGCTATTTGAATCATGTTGCATGTGATCAACACATGCAACAGAGGGACTTGATGGCTCGTCCCCACTAGGTCCTAAATGGGGCATTGACGGAGTCGCTGGCAGCACTGCATTATGGTTTGGCGTATTTTGTAACGATGTACTTGTAGATCCTTCGTTTACTGTCAGGCTAATGATATGCCGGACAGTATCTCGAGACAGCTTATCGATTAAATCCTCTAGATTGTTAGTTGCAAAGGCAGGACATCTCTCTCTCATTACAGCCGTGACCACATAGAGTTTGCGGACACATGTAGTCAAATTGTCCAGGAGATTCTCAATCCCAACTCTCCTAGACAAAGCATGTACGTTGATTCTGGCTGTCACAATCATTGAGACTGCTGAAAGTGTGAGACCCTGTAGCAACATCCATGAATTGGGAAGACGAAACTGGCGGATAAGCTTGTCGTAGATATCGATTACTTTCCCCGAGAATAAAAAGCATTGTTCATACAAGTGGGGTCCGGGTTGAAGAAGAAGAGGGGTTGGTCGACAAAGTGCAGCAGATGTAGAGTAGTATAGCCGATCCCAGTACTCTACGGGATACGGCGATGTGGAACGTGAATGAAGATCATGCAGATCTTGGTGCCATCTGTCCAATTTTTTTTGCAGCGTACTCAGGACAGATTCTCGCGCTTCAGTTGTAGGGAAAGCATTGTCCTTCCTCCCACGATAGACTTGAAACAACATCTGTTCCTGAATCTGCCGGTGTCTGATATGATGAACGGGCATAATCATATCTTCTGTTGCTTTAGGGAATGGCACATCGGCATCTTCAAAGGAGATACTCGCTGGTCGACCAAGGTTAAAAGCCAGAGTAATCTCAATGGCATAGGTGGTCCAGAATACCCGACGCCGCAGCTCAGATTCATCGGCGGTAAATTTCCAGCTGTCAATATGCCGATGCAGGCCTAGTTCAATTGCTAGCTTTTGACAAAGTCAATACAATCCTCCATTATCTTCAGTGCTATCAACTTACTCGCATAGCTATTCCCCCCACATGCCACTGTTTATTATCGGATGGTCGATGAGATGCATATATGGATATAAGATTGAGAATTTGTACTAGATTAATACGAGGAGTCAAGCCTTTGATCTGAGACTCTAGCAGAGTTGTAGCGTTCTGGTAGAGAGTTTCCGCTGACAGACCGTGACTTGATGCGTCTTGATAAGCCGGAATGCCTGTGTCTCCCTGTATATCGTTGAGAAGGTGCGCTTGTTCGGAGTGAATGGCACCTATTGACATCACCAGATAGAAAATGACGGCTACGTCGCCATTCTTCTCGGGTAAACTACTCGAGCTACTAAACGATTCCAGCATTGTAATATAGTCATCCGAGAACAACGGATATATGCTATTGACCCATCTCATGTAACAGCGCAAGAGAAATGGAAATGTCTCCGAAGTTCTCCAATTCGTAGGTATAAAAACAGAATCCCTATTGGAATTCGAGACCAAAGGCGTTTCACGCCCCTCCGAGCTAAAGCAAAGTCTGTGGTTTCTTGAAAGAGACGACTGGGCAACATTTGCAATATATTTGGCGAGGAAAGAGCCACTCGATGCACCCAGATAACGGACTTCACCGGTAGCATTCAACACCAACAGGCTTATATTTGGGTCTACGTCGTGAGGTCTTTCGGGTTGCTCTTCGTTTGAAGATACTGAAGGGCGATAATGAGGAGTCTGAGAAGGCGCGGCATTAGATATTCCCATCCGGACGTCATCCTCTGCACGTTCAACGCGTTTGTTGGGCGAGAGACAGTCCAAAGGTGTACCTGTGCTCATCGGACGGATATCAACACCAAAAACTCTTTGAATTTCATATTCTAACCAGGCAAGCCTCCGTGCAGTCTCGGAGAGATGGTCGTCTGCATTGGCACTAGAAGAGGGACGATCAGTGAAGCGACGTCGCCTCTCATGCGGTCTACAAATGGCTTGCGCTCGGAGACAATTTCGGCAATTTGGAGCTGCACCATCGCACTGCCGTCAACATCGAGATCAATTGTAAGCATAGCTTATGAGAAAACTTGGGTGGGGTTGCGCACCCTAATCTTGCGTTCATGACAGAGAGCACAGGCCTTGCGAGTTTTCAGGCGAGACTGCATCGGCATCTCATTCGTGAGAAGCACATTGGTAGCAATGACACTGACGATTAGTCCCTGTATATATTACTTATTTACCTTACTTACCTTAAGTAGATATGAGTGATGCTCTATCACTAATAGGAGGAGTAAAGCGGTAATGACGGGTGGCAAAAATCTCGGTGTTTCGGAGCTGGTCGCATGATTGTAAATGGGTACGGGAGGGGTGTCTCGGCGTTTGAATCGCCGAATCGCTCTGCAATCACGTGCTTGAGCTTGGTTTGACGAGGATTCCTTGGTGATATAGTAGATATTGGAGCAATATTCCGCTGTATATAAGCTGAGCTTCATTAATACTATAGATAATACCTGCACCAGTTGCTTTACATAGAGCAGACCATCAAGAATTAATCAGTTACAGATCCAAATAAAAATGTAGCGTTACAGATGCTAGCAGGAAGAAGGTGTAGAACATCCACATCTTCCGAGTTTCCTGGGTTTACATACAGCGGCGTTTCGGTGCTTTTTCACCGAGGGAACCCTAACGTAACTTTGGCAGCAATTGATACCATAGATATATAAATACAAGGCAATAACTCGACGCAGGATTTGATGAACTTTAATCTTTAAAATATTCCGAGCATAATTACACCAATATGGCCAATGTCATTAGATCAACAGCTGCAAAGCTCCAAATCTCCCCCACCCTCGGGATCAACGAGCTTGTCTTAAAGACACGTGCAGAGGGCAAAAATGTTGTACACCTGGGTTTTGGAGAGGCTACATTTCCAATTCAAAAAGATGTTCTCCGGATATATCGAGAAGCCTCGAGCACGACAAGTTATATGCCGGTGGCCGGTACGGAGGAACTGCGGAAGGTTCGTTCGCTGTACTCCTTTCACCATCAAGACCAAGGCTAACCTTATTACTGAAGTCAATTGCAGATTTTAATGCAGATCGTCTTAATGTAACAATCAGCCCCAATCAAGTCGTTGTAGCTCCTGGCTCGAAGCCACTTCTATTTGCCTTGTTTGATGTTCTTGAGGGCGATGTCCTGCTTCCTCGTCCGTCGTGGGTCAGCTATGAGCCACAAGTACTACATGCTGGAAAGAAGCTTTTCTGGGTCGAGACAGATGCTCTTGACCGTCATACCATTACTGGTAAGTTTTTTCCCAGTCAAAAAGACATCTTAAGCCCTAAAATTGACAAAATGCACAGAGGCCGCTCTTACCGCTGCATATGAGAATGCAATCTCAGAAGGGGCTGACCCTCGAATCATGCTGATAAACAGCCCTTCGAATCCAACGGGACATGTATTCTCGGCTGACTGTATCCAAACCATCAAATCTTTCTGTAAATTGAAGGGGATTGCTCTAATCACCGATGAGATCTATTCCGACATCTGCTTTGATGAAACCCAGAAGGCAATCAGTGCATTTGACAGTAAATCCAACGATTCCGAAACTGTTATTCTCACCGGTGGCTTATCCAAGGTAAGGCAATGATTCCCTCGCCTTTTATTGGACCGTATATATTAAATTTCTCGTATAGACATACTCCGCCGGGGGATGGCGCGTGGGTTATGCTATCTTTCCACCCTCGCCAACAGGAGAAACGATCCGCAATACAATACTAGCATATGCTTCCGAATGTTGGTCTGCAGCCTCTGCACCTGCACAATTGGCATCCGTGAAGGCGTTCTCCACATGCCAAGATATGGTCGCCTATCGCAAGTCAGTGACTGCGTTGCATAGATACTGCTCAACTCGAATGTACCAAACACTGAAAGATCTCGGTCTTGACATCGGAGAACCCCGCGGTGCTTTCTATCTGTATCCGTCTTTCTCCCCTTATGCAGCCCAGCTTAACAAGCTCGGTATCTTTACCAGCGCCGACCTTTCGACGTGGCTAATCCGGGAGTGTGGACTTGCTGCCCTACCGGGCTCTGCCTTTGGAGAGGATGATACTGGGCCCATGTTCGGGCGCTTCCGACTCCGAATAGCTACGAGCTATTTGTATTTCCAGAATGAGGCTGATCGCTATCAGCATGGTTATGCTTTGCTAGAGGCATGTAGTTCAGGTCATGAAATTCAGCTTCCCTACTTGGAGGAAGCAGTTTACGTTATTAAAGAAGTTATTGAGAAGTTGAAAGCTATTCCAGTATAAATTTAATTACTATATTATCTTATTGTTAAATATAACAAGTTGAATGTGTGATTCCTGGGCGCTGGGTGCTTCTATTTGGGCGTCGAGTTTAGGCCAGAGAAGGAAAATCTCTGTCACGTGTGAGTGAAAAATAATGGTGCGCGATACCTGATAAGGAAAGCGTGACAATTGAAGCGGGCAATTCCCCCACCGCCTTTGGTAGATCGCTCGTCTGAGTGCGACCCCTCGGACCAACTATACTAGCAGATTCCAAGCGTGCACATTTCTATCCACTCACGACTTTAGGATCCCCACATCGCCACAATGGAAGCTGATATTGTAGAACCCTGCAATGAAGGCTTAGTTGGAAGGGTTAGCAGCTTCTTCAGCAATGAAAGCAGTCTTAGCACTGTTCCGTCAGATTTTGAAACCCGCGCAGCATGTGATAGGATTGCGTCCTATCATCCAAGAGACAGCAACGACAATACCCAAAAGGTTCTATCAAGTTTCATTCAATATCTACCAGTTGAGGGAAGATGCTTGCTGTCCCAGTTCATTGTCGAAACAAGCGATGACGGGACACTATTTGATCTCTACAATCATCTCTTGACAACAATCCTAGTCCCTAGTAAGTGAATATCAATACTTTGATGTACTCGGGCATTATTCTCAATTTGTATAGTGAAAGCACGTGGGCCAACACCGGGCATTACCCCCTCGCCCTTTTCAAATAATGAAGCTATAAAGCAGGAAATTGCTGCTTTAATCACAGAGTCACCAAGCAGAATCGAGCAACGCAAGCTAAAAGCAATGTGTCTCGAGAGAGACAATTTTCAGTGCATGCTCACTGGATTCTCTGATGCATTGGCAGACGATGACAAGAAGAGAGAGGGCATGACGGGGGACCTTGAACTTGCTCATATCTTGCCGTTTTCAATCTCTCAATGGAAAAATACAAAAGAGGTTAGTTAAAGCATTACTAAGTTTTAATAGCATGTTAACTGGTTTCAGCACCATGAGATTGCTCAAATATGGACGACCTTAAAAAGATGTTTCCCACAAATTAGCCTAGGGCCGAGTGACATAAACCGCCCGATTAATGCAATGACCTTGTTTGAATCAGTCCACAGTGCATTTGGTAGATGTGCAATTGCGCTTGAGCCGACAGAAGTGGTATGTCATCTTCTCAGCATGATATTATAGATGCTAATTTCAATAGGATAACGAGTATCAGATCCTAATCCTGGGAAAGACGTTTCCAACATTTCTCAATTATTTTTTGCCCAAGCCAAACGACCATGGCCACCGCCTCATTAAATTTACACAACATAGTGATGTTGAACTTCCAAGTCGCAGTCTTCTGCTAATGCATGCTTCGCTTGCAAAGATTTTGCATGCTTCCGGCATGTCAGAACGCATTGACAAAGTTTTACAAGACCGAGAAGATATTGGATGTCTGGCGACTGATGGGAGCACCAGAGTTGATGAGCTTTTGTTTGCTTTCTAGTCACTCCATGATATGCTATACTTGATTTTGTCTCATTACATTCCCATATCTATATATTTATTATTAAGGTCTTCAAGCCCTGCCTTGCATCCTTAGCAAAGATTATCTGGAGTAGGAGTTGCATCTAGACTTGCTCATTTAATAAATTTCAAATTTATAATTATAACTTTCTAAAACATATAGTTAGGGTATCCGTCGGTCCGGTCCGGGTCGGTCTTGACCCCCCTTTTCCCAACACGCCCCGGTCGGCCACCGGGACCAACCCAAAGACCACCGGTTCCCACTACCCCCAGCGGACACCCTACATATAGTTGTAATCTAAGACACAAACTACAAGGGTTGGTAAGGGATCTATTGTCTTGGAAAATGGTACTTATCATATTAATAGTCATGAGTTTCTTGTAATCTTAAAGCTTTAATACTTGTACATCTATAAGTCAAAATACATTGTAACTTTAAGGTCTAGTCTCTCAATCATTTGCAATTGTCTCTCAATATTATAGTACTAAATTGTCAGGACGCCCTGACATAGAACGCACACAGGAAATCATGATCTCCACCTTTCGTGAGAATTACTCATCGCGACCCACAAAACATGCCCTGATCAACAATCTAGAACAAGTTGCTTAGCTTATAGAAAATAGGGAAAAGGGGGTGACAATTGAAGAATGGCAATCAGAAGGCAACATCTCGAGGCAACATCGGGGTGACTCGAGATATCGAGGCAACTCTTGTATATATAAAGGCAAACATATGTATATAGAATTCTCTAGTAGTTAGTCTCGAGTCACAAATAATACCATCTTCTGTTCTGCCCGTCATTTACACCTTATACTCAGTGCTATTCTGACATAAATAAAATTGTTTATAAGCTATTTAAAAGTTAAAATAGCTCTTTAATGGACAGGTATAATTAATCTTTTTTAAAACTCTTAACTATCTATTGTAAATATTGATTCTAATGTAAAAAAAACAAGAATTATTATAATAAACCCTAACAACTGCTGAGAAAGCTGTACATTTCATCTCATTATAGAGGGTTTTTCTACTTTTTCCAAAGGGTTAGACTTAGGAATTTATATAGTAAGAATTTATCAAACCATAGTTTAATTTGTTACTGCA